GTAAACTTCAAACACAAACATTTGGTCTGTCTGTTTCTGCATTTTTGTCTCGTGCAGGGACCAGTCCAGATGAGCAAATCTGCGTTCATTATTACCCTTCCTTACCCTGCTCCCACTCTCCCTGTGTGTGCATTCCCAACCTTCTTTATTTTGCACATGATACATATTCAGAAGATAAAAAAAATGTTTTGTTAATGATAGAAATGAAAGCAAACAATGCACTCTACATCCAACTCTGCTGTGTATTGTCTCCCTGGCAAAGCCCCAAGCATCACAGTTACTCGGGTTCCAGCAGTGTGAGCACAGAGGGAGGGATTAATTAAAACTAGTACATGTTAATGGAGCTCTAAACCTGAGTTCAGATTGCCTTAATAAACACAGAAATACCATCATATTAAACTCTTCTCCTTCAGGAGCTGCTGGAGTAGCACGTCAGGCAGAGGCTGCCCTTTTCAGGGATGCAGTGCTCCTGGATCCGAGGAAACCGCCTGCAGAAGCTGCCCTGTCTTTGTCCCTCGGCTGATGGCCACAGCATACAGCTCCTCTCACCAGCACTCTCCTGAGGACTGAGAAGAGTTTCACCATTTTCCCCCATATACCTGAACCAGCACAGAGCTGGGCTTCCCACCAGTGCACCAAAATCCCCTTCAATGGGCAACAGAGGAGCAGTCAGTTGGTCACTGCAACCTCCAGTTAGCGGAAGTCTCACAAGGTTTGGTCCCAGGGCAGGCGGAGCTCTGAGGAGCTTTAGATGATTAAAGACCATCCAGTTCCAACTCGCTGCCATAGGCAGTGACACCTTCCACTAGACCAGGTTGCTCCAAGCCCTCTCCAACCTGACCTTAAACACTGCCAGGGAGGGGGCAGCTGCAGCTTCTTTGGGCAACCTGTGCCAGTGCCTCACCACCCTCACAGGGAAGAACTTCTAGCTTCTTCCTTATAGCTGATCTAAATCTACCCTCTGTAAGTTTAAAATTTGAAATGTTTTAATAAATTCTTGAATGCTGCAAAAGCTGAAGGAAGGGAAAGGAAGGCCATTTTTCCTGCCTGTGCTTAAAAAGGGCAAATGGTGTGAGCCAGGGAAATATATCATGTATGTGGAACAAAACAAGGGGTTTTGCTTTTGAAAAGTGAGCCTGACACAGCTGTAGGAAGAAAGGGAGATCAAGGTAGAACTGGCACCCCTAAGAAATGCCCAGCTGGGATATGAGGGAGAGCAGCTCCACATGCTGCATGCTTGAGACATCTTTGCCAGTGGTAAATGTGTGATAACTTCTTCCAGACATGGTCAAGAGCTTGAAGCTGGCTGCAGAGCTGACTTGCACTTGCAGGTGGTTTCCAAGAAAGATGCTGCTTCCCCACCCTCAAGTCATGCTAAGCCAAGTGCTGTTGCTAGGTCTGTTACATCCTTCATCATCTCTTCATTTCTGTAATGGAGGATAATCTTTGGAGGCAGCATTGCCTCTGGAAGCAGCAGGGTTGGGTGGTGTCAGGCTTGCAGTGTTTGTCCAGAGTCAGAGCAAAGGATCACGTTGTTGGGTGACACCTGATAAGCCCAGGCAGACTGCCAACGTGTCTCATAGCTCCGGTATCCCTGAAGGCAACGTCTCCTTTTTGTGTGCTCTCAAACACTGCCCAGCTTTCTTGTACTTCTAAAGTTTGCATGTTAATGTCTGAATGTTGTGTTGTTAAATTTTCAGTATCTCTATTCATGCCAGAAAGCTCTTCTGTTAGGAGGGATTTAGAATAATGCAACTCTTCATGGGTCCTCATTATTTCTCAAAAAGGGACTGTGTTGTTCAAGTGCCCATATTGTGACATGAGTCTAATTATGGCTCCTTTCTGTAGACCCCCAGAGATGCCATTATGTCCACCTGCAGTAGGAGGGGGAAGATTATAATTTGCATTCAGCATGAGCTTTTCTCCATTATTCCCACTGTACATAAATAAAGAAGACAATTCTTATCGACCACTGATCCTCTTTTCATTTATCTTACATTTCATTTTTTAAAACAGCAGTTTTGCTTTGCCTCTTTCCCTCAGAGTATTGTTGTTTTCCACTTCAGCATTAGCATATCTGCTTTAGTCTGGCCTAACTGAATGTGCACCTTCCGTTGAGCAATTGGCAAAAGATATCTTGGCTAAAAGGGCTTTTCATCCTTTGAAAAGAAAAGCATGGCTCAAGGGGATGACACACCCAAAGATAAAAGCTTGATCTACTACAAGACCGGTATATATTCACATGATATTTCCTTTGTCCCTTTTATTTTTATTTTTTTTTTAATGCACTTTTCCCCTCTTCTCACTACCCTTCTCATTGAAATTCTCAGACTTCTAGGTCAAAATGCCTCCCCATCCATGTCAATTTGCACTTGTAGATGAGAGTAGTTTTGAGGAGAAAATACCTAAGTACAGTTTGCATTTTGGCACAGGCTCCTAACATCTGAATTAAAGGAGGTGAGTAATGAAGGCATACCTCTCTCCTAGGTCAACATGAGCACGCAGACCATGTGTTTCTGGGAGACTGTCCTGTGCTTTTCACTGCATTTCATAATTACTCTCACTGACAAAATCCTTGCAGAAATAGGAGGACGACAGAGGTATAAGTTTGGGGAGGTGGAAGGACCTTATTCTGCTTCTGTTTTTCTCTAATGGCTAGCCTCTTTTAGATGTTCATGGAAGGATAACATCTGCAAATGTTTTAGTTTCCCATGTTTGGTCCCTTTTTTGTACAATTCAAGTGACAAAATGTAACATTTAACACAGCAGAATCTGGTCTGTGTTTGCCTCCATTCTGTTTCTAATAGCACTAAGCTCAAAGCAGAGAAACTCCAAAAAAAAGGAAGCAGAGCTGGACAGGGAAAGGATATACCTGTTCCATCACAGGATCATAGAATAGTTTGGTTTGGAAGGGACATTTAAAGTCCATCTAGTCCAACTCCCCTTCAATGAGCAGGGGCATCTTCAAGTAGATAATGTTGCTCACAGCCTCGTCCAACCCAGCTTTGAATGTTTCCTTTAATGGGGCATCCACAGCTTCTCTGGGCAACCTGCGCCAGACCGTCACCACGATTACAGCAAAAAATTTCTTTCTTATATCCAGTCTGTCTCCCCACTCTTTTAGTTTAAATCCATTAGCCCTTGCCCTATCCCTACATGCCCTTGTAAAAAGTCCCTTTCAAGCTTTCTTGTCAGCCCCTTTAGGTACTAGAAGGCTGCGCTAAGGTCTCCCTGGAGCCTTCTCCAGGCTGAAGAGCTCAGCTCTCTCAGCCTGTCTCCATAGGAGAGGTGCTCCAGCCCTCGGAGCATCTTTGTTATGTCCTCTGGACTGACTTCACATCTCTTCTACGTTGGTGGCTCCAGAACTGCACACAGTACTCCAAGTGGGGTCTCACAAGAGCAGAGTAGAGGTGCAGGATCACTCCCTTCCACCTGCTGGTCATGTGTCTTTTGATGCAGCTCAGAATACGGTTGGCTTTCTGGGCTGTGAGTGCACACTGCTGGGTCATGTCCAGCTTTTCATCCACCAGTACCCCCAAGTCCTTCTTCTCAGGGCTGCACACATTAATTTTCTTTTCTTATTTTTTTTTTTTGTCTATCTTTGACTTGGGATTCTGTTCCTGTTTGTATCAATCAGTGCAAAAACTGGTGGTTAACGATGCTTCCTGTAAATCCGGTTGTTAAAACTCATTTCAAGTCAATCCAAATATTTTTGCTTTAAGAAACAGAGCAATGCTGGATGGTTAGTATGATATGCTAAAAAAAAAAATAGAGAACTGTCCGCCTCTTTAGGACATAGTAGTATGTATTCTAACATTGTTTGACTTTCTATTAGGACAAATCCGCTGACTTTTTTTCAGATATGTTGGAATTGCATATTCCAGTGGAGTGAAGTTCCCTCAAAGGCTTTTGCTGACACCCCTGAACCTAGCATATCTGCTTGTAGCCTTTATGGACTCAATTTATGTGTGTGTACAGAGGTGCCTGGTGGTACATGAGATGCTCTAGGATGGTACACACAGCTCCAGCTATGGCTCTAGCAGATCCTGGGTTTCTTATAACTCTTGTGTCATATATCCCACCCGATCTAGATGGCTCAGCTACCCTCCTGCGTCTCAGATGCCACTACTTACACACGGCTGGGAGAAGAGCTTCGTCACTCTGTGTCATTTTTGATATTATAGACAAATCACTCTAGAGTCACAAAGGCAATTTGCATGCAAAGGTGTCACTAGTATTCATGGGTTTAAGTCAAAGGGAACTCAAGTTTAGTGAAATCAAGCAATGTTCTGGTACGTTTGGGAAATCATCCTTAGGTTTTCCCTATTTATATGGGGTGAAGGTTATAATAAAATTCTGGTGAAACACTCATATACCCTGTGAGATGCCATTTTCCTATTTTGTGCACATTAGTATGTTCAGCTAAATAATGTATTGTAATAGTGTGTGCATCACAGCATTACGAAGGACGGCTTATGTGAATTTTCACTTCAGAAGTGGGAGAGGAGAAGATGTGATGAAGACAGCAACTGCTGGAAATATCCATCTTGTATTTCCAGCTCATGGATGTAATTTCATAATATTTGTGTCAGGTACAGCAGCTGTCACTGAGTCTACCAGTGTAGTGCGGATTGGTTTAATATCTGTATTTCAGTCAGCTGAGCCATGAAAAATTAGTGCAGAGGCATGTTGCATCACTCCAGCTCACCTTTGCTAGGAGCTCAGTTAGGTTTTTTCCTCTTAGGCCCACAACTGGGCCATGGATGCCACTGAGGAGTGAGTTAACGATAAAGGAAAACTGTTACCACGAATCCTTTAAAAAAGCAGATGGAGGCAAATAATTCCATGTCATTTTTAGAAGAAGATATTTAACAAGATGACTGAAGACACAGGGGGAAGAGGGTGGTTGCAGGCTGTGTTTCAACACTTGGCTCCGAAAGTGGCTGCCTGATTATCTCTGGTTTCTTTGTTTTCCACATTTTTGTTCCTGTCTCCTACAGGTAAAGCCTATGCTCCTGAGTTCTACTATGACACCTACAACCCACTGTGGCAGAACAGACCCCGCGTGTATTCCTACAGCCTGCAGTGGACACAGATGAACCCCAACGCTGTGGACCGCATCCTTGCCTATCGCTTAGGAATTAGGCAGGTAAAGAAGAAACTTAATTTGTGCAAGATGTGCCTTTTGAGTATGCTGAATTCTGTGAGAACTGCCATGGGTTTTTTTTATTATTATTTTATTTTTATTTTTACTTTTTTTTACTTTAGTTTTTTTCCCCTTTTCATCCTCTGTGAGTCAGAGTTGTTGTCCCCCTTCTGAAAGGTTGGCTGCCATCTTGCAGAAGCAGTCATCTGCCGCTTGCAGATCCTGGAAACTAATTTGCACATTGGCATAGTGAAACATAGAGATTAAAGTGCTGTGCCTCAAAGGGTTTTCCAAGGCTGTGGCTCAAGGTATGCTGGAAAGATAACATGAAAAAAAACCTGCAGTGAAATTAAACTTTTTATCTCTCTGTATATATCTATATATCTTTTATTAGAACTTCCATGTAAATAGATAAATATAGGGACAGCTGTAGCTTTCCTGCCGAAATTCGTGGTGATCCTTGAGAAATGAGGTGTCTTTCTTGACCACATTAAAGCCGATCATGCTTGTGTCTTCATAGACTCACTGTGAACCCTTCAATGGGAATTGGCCCTGCTAAGGAAGTGCGGAACAACCCACTTGCAGAGGAATTGTTACATTATCATAGCCATCTCTGTTCATTTTCCCTTTAACAATTTTAAAAGGAAAATATCATCTGTCTTCTTGGAAGGTTGTTACTACAGAGCTTGAGTTCTAATAGTCAATTAAAGGGAAAGAACCAATCTGTGCGTTACTTAAACTTTCATTAAATGGCAATACCTCTGCTTACTCCCCTTCACAGAGTGAAGTGATCTTTGCTTGCAGTTGCACTTTCCTACAGCAAAGCCATTTTATGATATGAAGGCAGAAAAATGTAGAGCTGTAACATTTCCTTGCAATCCTGTCTAGAGCCTGCCCACATGTGTGCCAGAGATTGACACTGACAGTCAGGTTTTGGCATTGGTAGGCTTTCTCAATGTCACCTTAGCCACAGCATCCACCTCGGAGTCATGTCTACAAGTTGGCCTGCCAGCCTTGGTCTGGCGGAGGCATGCACTGGCAGAGGAGGCTGTGCCATGCCATGCTGTGCTGTGCCATGCCAAGGTCACTGTTCCCACCATCCCAGCTCACGGGCACATACCCCCATCTCCCGCTACCAACCTGGACCTGCTGCAATTGAATTGAAGATATTTTGCTGCTTACTCGTGAGAATCCATCTGATCTTGTTTTGGTCTTCTTTGACACTCTCCCGTTGAGCTTGTTTTTCTTTAAATAATATCACAACTGACTGATTTAGTAAGTATATGTTTGGTTATTCTGTGCCTGAAATAATAGTTTGTGCAGGGAGAAAGAGATAGGGGATTAAGACAGATCCTTGAAGACATGTATTTTTGAAAATGTGAATGCAGAAAGTATCCTGTTGTCCCGTGGATCTCCTACTGGGATGAGCTTTGTAAGCTGTAAAATAAACATACAATTTGAGCATGTTATTTATTCTAAGTAGATGGGCGTTTTGCTTGTATAACTTTTGTAGTAGTTGTGGAGTCGACTGGGACATGTCAAGGGAAGGGTTTTGATACCTGGATGGTGCTGGCTCCCCTTCACTCAGTTTGTCTCTGCCTGAATCTAACTAATTTGAAATTAAAATTGTTGAATTTTAATGCATGTTTATGCAACTGTTTGCATCATTGGACACAAATCACTTCCATTATTTCCAGTAGTGAGAAGAATTACTCAATTAAAAGCAGAATTTGCTGAAGTAGAAGAATATATAATGAAATTAATTGCATTAGGATTTTTAGCTTTTTTTTCTGTTTCATTTTAATTTACTTTTGATTATCTATTTATATAATTATCTAGAGTTACTTTCCTCTGATTTCCTTGACAACGGTCTCTGTCAGGCTAATCAAAATATTTCCTTTTGTCTGTCTGAAGCCACATTTAAAGTGGGTGATTTAAAATCTAGTGAGCCATCTGGACACTCATCCATTATTGCAGTAATTCCCCCTGAAACAAGGGTGATAATTAAATGTTCAGGGTTTGGGTTTTTCTTGACACCTACCAGTACTAGCTAGTATTTTTAACTGGGCTTCACTAGGGTTTTTATTTAACAATAAAAGTTGGGATGAGCATCTGTTGGGAGTGGCAGAAAACACGCTCATGCCTGTGCCAGGTTCATTACAGAAGCAGGGCAGCAGGATTTCCAGGTCAGAGCAACAGCCTGCAGCCCAGCATGATACTGTTGTAAAAAGTGACTGTTCTTAATCTTTGTTTCAATCTTCTGATGTTTTGTGAAACACTGCCAGTGGGCTATGGAGTGAGTCAATGCGTTGGTATCTGCTTCTGATTCAATTAACACAATTACCTTTGTCTGATCAGTAAATGGCTTTTGCATTAAGAATGCTAAAATCAGAGTGCAAGCACTCTTCCTCTTTACCTGTACATTGCAGCTTCACTTGAGAAAGAATTCAGGCAGTATTTGGGGAATACTTAGTTGATAGCAGGTCTACGCTCGCTGAATTTTCTGTGGAATTGTTAAAGTCTGTAATATTGTCAATATTTCTAGTGCCATTTTATAGAAACAAGCTTCTTATGAGGTGTAGAGTGGTTTAGCTCCATTTACGTATTTGCCAGGTGATTGTAGAAAGCAACGCAAAGGACGTGTTTAATAATGAAATTAAACTTTAAAATGCATACTGAAACTCTAAAAGGGCAAAGGATAATGGAATGTGGCTGACTAGGGATTTTCCATAGTACAAATTGTTCTGCTAGAAGTAATTAGATTATACAGTTTTATAACAACAGGAAAGTATTTCCACTGGTTGGCATCTAGTGAGATTATAGAGCTGGAGATGTCTCTGCCTTGAGGAGCTCAGCCAAGCAGAGTTTTGGAAAGCTTTGCTGGCAATAGAACCTACTGGAGAGAAAAGTCCAGCGCCAGAGGTATAATGCAGGCATAAAGCAGGTGTAACGGAGGTGCTGAAGGAAAGGAGCTGTGCCACGCTGAGGGTGGTGTATGCCATGAGAATAACTTGGTTCTGTTTACACTGAGGTACGAACTATTTCACCATGGGTGCCAGGAGCAGTTGTTGTGCTCTCAGGACCTTCAGGATTTTGTGGTTGCTTTGTAACATCAAAAAAACCCACCTGTTTTAAGAAAAAAACTAATAAATTTAAGAAGTAAGTTGAAAATTTGCAAGCATCACTGCATTTATACGTATGTTTCTATCTCTCTCTCTCTATCTATCTTTCATTAAGATTGTTTTGTAGCTCTACTGCTACTGCTTTATTTAAAGGTATGAACTACATGTACTGCTCTCTGATGGTGCGCAGCAGTTTGCTCAGTCAAGTTCGTCCTGGTGGCATGGTATTGTGTGTTGACTGCTCCCTCCTGGGAGAATCAGGAAGGAACAGGAATTATTTAGAGCACTTTGCTTTCTACTTAAGCCTAGACACTCCTGTTGTTGCCTTTTGGGGATTCATGCTGTGCTTAATGTTATTTTTTAACAAACACAGGCTCTCGTCTGCATTTCTATCCATGCGGCACATGGATAGTGGCTTCCAGTGCTGGGTTTTAATTGGCTTTGAGGATGCTAAGCTGCAATATATGCCAAGCCTGCTGTGATGAAGCATCTAGCCACCAAGCAGTGTGCGTGACCGTGCTCTTCCTTTTCTGAACAATGACAAATAACTTTTAAAAAAGGAGGCACTAACTAAGTGGCCATAGAGTTTACTTGTTGAGTGAGTGAGAGCTGCTGTTCATGTGCTTCGATAACCCTCAGAGCCCTCAAGCATGTCCTGAGGAGATGGCACAGCTCTGCACTATGCATCCAGGCCCCATCCCTCTAAGGAGTTGTTACAGATGTGGTCTCCTCATGGAAATTTCTGGCTTGTTCTCCTAGGAAAAAAAAAACATTTAGTTGATGATACATAATAGCAAGGGACCTGTTCTGATGTGCAGTTCTTGTGAGACCAGTCTAGACAATTTTGGCAGGATAAAAGAGACTTGAAGAGGTTGGTCCCTTTCCTGAGAGGAGGAAAACCCTTGAGGGCAATGATTCAGTTAATGGCCGGTCCTGCCGCCGATCTGCACTATAAAGAAAGATTCTGAAGGTGGCAGAGAAATACCACAGTGTATGTATCTACTTCTCTTGGGCCACAAGATCCGAAGGAAGCAAAGATTAAAGTATTCCTTTCACTACTTGGCATTCTGCATGTTGCCCAGATTTAGAGAGTATAAACATGGTGAAAACCTTGGTACGTCTGGGCAGGTGCAAGCACATCTGAGTTCCACATGCCAAAGAAAGGAAAGAGAGCCCATCCATTCTCCTCTCCCCCTCCCTGGTTTTCGTGAGCATTTTCTAGTCTGGCAGGCTGTGAGAGGAGGACACTTTCCTGATCCAAGAGCAGCATATCATTCTAGTACGTCACAGAATCGGTAGCAGTTTTCCCACTTCTGAAGGGAAAATCTGAGTACAGTTCTGAGCAGAAAAATAGGAGATGCATGAAGCCATTTGAGATGCTCATTTGTGATTACCAGATAACAACATGACAGTGTAAGCTGGAAATTAGGGGTGCAGCTAGAGCAGGGTGTAGTCAAGAGAGATAGTCAGAGTCTGTGATTGTTTGTTTTCAGAGAAGAGGGCAATGCATTTCATGTTTGGAAGATACAGATCTGAAAGCAGAGGAAGAACAAATGAAATTAATTAATCTCAGCAATACCAGCCTTGTCATGGAGAGGTTCTACAGCATCTTCTGCAGGACTATATTCCATGCAGTGACTACACAGCCTTTACCTGACAGAGCAAGTTCAGTTACCCCCTGAACCCCTAAAGGCCCCACATTGTCGCTTGCAGTCACCAAGAGGGATGGTGTTATATTCAAAATGCAAGGACTTTGACATTTTGTAAATACAGCTCTTAGAATCATAGAATCATAGAACAGAATCATAGAATAGAATCATAGAATCATAGAATAGTTCGGGTTGGAAAGGACCTTAAGATCATCTAGTTCCAACCCCCCTG